ATATATATATATATAAGAGAGGCATAAATGTTTATTAATAATTCTTTTAATAGATAAATATAAATATACATTTGGGTGTACGAAGGGCTGAGGGGAGAAAAGGACAAAAAAAGCAGAAATATTTTGTTTGCTGCTGTTGCTGCTGCATGCATGCATGCATGCATGCATGCATGCGTTTACAACATACAGACCCAAACAAGACATCTATTTGTTATACAGTTTAATTATTATTGTCTTATTAATAAATAAATAAATAAATAAATAAATCTTTTCCTTTTGTGTCTTTATAGAGACATTTAATATAATAATTATTACCTATATATATAAACAATGCATGCATGCATGCATGCAGGCATGCAAGGATACATGCATGCAGGCATGCATGCAGGTAGCAGTTGATGATAAGGAGACACTTCGTTACTATTTGCTGCTAGCTGTGCATGCAGTTGGGGCTGTTTCGGGTGTATAGGCAGCTCCCCATACTCATGAGGTGCCTATACACCCCAAATAAATAGTATATCTTAGGGAAAGAGGTGGAGAGGAGGAGAGACATAAGAAGGAGGAAAAGGAGGAAAAAAGATGGATGAAGGAAAAAGGGCCAATAAAGACAAAAGGAGACAATAATTAAGAGGAAGGAGACACTTTATTTATTGTCTTTTTTATTAGTGTCTTTTTTGTATAAATTGTATATATAAATAGTCTACATGGCTAACGCCCTCTATAATAATTATTACTATTTATTTATTATTATTTATTATTATTATTGTTTATTGTTGTTACATTGATATAATACATATTATTACAGTGTATTTATATAAAATAAAATTCTTTATTATTAATTATTTATATTAAATATAACTGCATGCAACAAACACATTTGCGGTGTATGTGCAGCTCTTGTGCAATAAAAGAGGAAAAGAATCAACTTTGCCTTTAAAAGGGCACAATTAAATGAATAAACAAAACAAATTAATCAATTTTTATTTTATTTAATTTATAGTTAAAAAATAATTCATTTTTATTCCCTTTTTACTGCTGTATTTCCTTCTTTTCTTCTTCTGCATGCAGCGGCGCTGCTGCCGACGATCGCAGGTAGATCGCAGCAGCAGCAGCAGTTCTTTTACTGCAGAAAAAGAAATAAAATAAATAAAATTAAATATAAATTAAAATAAAGTAAATGAATAAATGAATTTTATTGAAAAAAGAAAAAAAATATAACAACTGATTTCCTTTTGCTGCTTCTTTTTCAGGTGTATACGGAGCTGCAGCAAAAGGCGTGAGCAGTAGAGTTGCCTATACACCCCAACTGCTGCGTGCAGTATTTAATATAAATATAATGAATGTAAATTATTGAATATGACAGGAGAAGGACAAGGAGCTGCCTATACACCGCAGCAGCTGTATAGGCAATCGGCAGCAGCTGCTGCCGTGCCTCAACAACTCCCTCTCACACCCCCTCCTCCTGCTGCTGCTCCTGCTACTGCTGCTGCTGCACATACACCGCAGCCTGCACATCCACAGAATGCATCTGGACCCTTTGTACAACAGCAGCTGCCTGTAGCAAGCGGGAGCAGCTGCAACAGCTACAGCAGCTGCAACAGCAGCAGCGACAGCAGCAGCAACTACAGCAGCAGCAACTACAGCAGCAGCGATATGAGGGGCATGCAAGCAGCAGCAACACAACCAATTGATCCATCTATAATACACGCCGCGCACATTCCTCCGCTGCCGCCCGCGGTATGCTGTTGCTGTTGGTGCTGCTGCTGCTGCTGCTGTCGCTGTTTGAGCCCGCCGGTACCGGTTGCTGCTGCTGCTGCTGTTGCTGCAGCAGCAGCAACTTCTTCTGCTGCCTTTGCTGCACTTTTGCGAGTGTCTATTGCATTGTTTGTTGCAGCCGCCCCCTCCCCCGCCGGGTCGCCCGGGTTCTGCTGCTGCAGCAGCAGCAACAGCAGCACCGCCAGCAGCAGCAGCAGCACCGCCAGCAGCAGCAGCAGCAGCAGCAGCAAATGCAGTCGAGACAGATATGGATCTGATTATTTCTCTTATAAGTGCAAAAGAGACGGAGAAAGCAGCAGACCTACTATTGGAGAAACTGCAGGTATTTTTGCTGCTGCTGCTGCTGCTACTGCTGCTGCTGCTGCTGCTGCTGCTTGTGCAGCTGGTGGTGGTGATGCTGCTGCCGCTGCTTCTGTTGTTGTTTTTATTTTGCTGCTGCTGCTGCTGATGCTTCTAGTGTGTTGCTGAAGCTGGTAGTTGTTTTGCCTTTAGGGTTTAGGGTTTAGGGTTTAGGGTTTAGGGTTTTGTGTGTATTGCAGTCTTCTAATTTACCTCCTCGGGTGTATCTTCAGCTGCGTACATTGCGCTTCTTCTGTCTCTTACGCCTATCGGTAAACCCTAAACCCTAAACCCTAAACCCTAGTGGTTATTGTTGGTGTAATGCTGGGGTGTATAGACACCTCATGAGGGTTTTTGCTGCTGCAGGCATTTGCTGCTGCTGCTGAGGAAGCAGCAGCATTAGGCGATCTATGCGCTCCTTATTGGAACTACGAGCAACACCCTCATCTATATCCTGGAAAAAAGTAATACTAGGGTTTAGGGTTTAGGGTTTAGGGTTTAGGGTTTAGGGTTTATGGGTAGAGAGGTATAGGGGATGCGACACATACAGTTAGGCAGGTAGATAGGGTTTTGCGTTTGCCGTTTGAGGGTTTAGGGTTTAGGGTTTAGTGTTTCCTTCGTTTGTCTGTAATAGGAATTATTCTAACTTACACCTACCAACATTAGTGTTTAGGGTTTAGGGTTTAGGGTTTAGGGTTTATGTGCTGCAGAGGGAGCATGGTGCCCTTTAGCCTCCACGTCCTTCTTGCTGTTGCCCCACACCTGTGGGGTAATTCATTAGATTCTCTCTCCGCCTTATCTTTGCTGCTGCAGCGCTGCAAGCAGCAGATGCAGTCAGCAGCAGCAGCAGCAGCAGCAACAGCAGCAACAGCAGCAGCAGCAGCAGCAGCAGCAGATGAGCAGAATTGCCAGAGGCTATGGAAGGCTCGTCTTATTAAAACCGCCTTCTTATTAGCTGTTGTGCTTACTGCAGCAAACTACCCAGAGGTACGGCTGCTGCTGCTGCTGCTGCTGCTGCTCGTGCTGCTGCTGCTGCTGCTGCTAGTTATGCAGCTGCTGTTGCTGCTGCTGCTGCATGCATGTGTGGTTTAGGAGGCTGTGAGGGTTTTGCAAGAAGAGGTGTTGCCTCTAGATGAGGGTTCTTCTGCTGCTCTTTCCCTCATGGGGAGAATATCTCTTAAGGCAAGAGAATTAGGGTTTAGGGTTTAGGGTTTATGGAGGTCCTTCTTACGATCTAGTTCGTACTCGTATGCCGCTTGTTTGTGAATTGCTGCTGAGCGTTTGACTTCCTGACACCGTCAAGGGTTTAGGGTTTAGGGTTTAGGGTTTAGGGTTTAGGGTTTGTGTAATCAGATGGGTTGTACGGACTGCGCTGAGCAATATTTTACTTATGCGGATTGTTCGGGGGTTTCAGACAGTTGCATTCGCAATACGAATCAGTGAGTCGTCTAAACCCTAAACCCTAATTTAGGGTTTGGGTGTATACGTACCACTTTATCCTCCTTGTTTGTATAATTATATTATAATTAGTGTTTCTGCTGTCTGTTCAGCGGTTTGCTGCTGATGTTTACGCGACGCATTGGTGCAGCAGCAGATGCATTTGAAGCAGCAGTGCATGCATCGGGGGCCCCCCTAGGTGTTGCAGTATCAGGTGATGGGGGGGGCCCCCTTAAGACAGAAGAAGACCCATGGGGTACTGCATGCGAAATGTGCTGCCCTCCAGCGCATGCAGTTTGCTGCAACAATGGGGCTGTCGCTAAATTCTATGGAAAAAGATTAGAAGACGCAACAGCAGACTTAGAGGGATTTATTCAAGGAAACCCTGTATGTAAACCCTAATCTAGGGTTTAGGGTATCTACAAGGGTTTAGGGTTTAGGGTTTTCACTATCTAGAAGGGTATAGGGTTTAGCTTGGAGAAGGGTTTAGGGGTCGGGTTGCTGAGAACGGGCTGCAAAAGGTTTGTGTGCAGACTGCCGATCCTCTTCTCTAGGGTTTAGGGTTTAGGGTTTAGGGTTTAGGGTTTGTGTTGTAGGCTGGAGCGTTTGCTGCATGCGTGAGGAATTTGACGACTTTGTATGAATTTGGTGCAAAGAGGGATGAATTTATTTCTATGCTGCAGCAAACCCTAAAAGCAGCAGCAGCAAGAGATAAACAAATACAATATATACTTACAGGAAACTAAATAAACAGCAGCAGCAGCAGCAGCAGCAACAGCAGCAGCAACAGTAGCAGGTGCTGCAGCAACAGCAGTTTTTGGGTGTTCGGATAGGGAATTGAACCTCTTGTCTATAAACCCTTTGTTTGCTGGACTGTCTAAACAACAATTTAGGGTTTAGGGTTTAGGGTTTAGGGTTTTATGAGATAACCATAAACCCTAAACCCTACACTTCGATTTCTGTGTTATGAAATCGTTAAGTAAAACCCTACAGGGTACAAACTAAGCATAAACCCTAAACCCTAAACCCTAAAATGTTCGGCTGGCAAGCTGAGTTATAAACCCTCGAGGGTTTTGTATTGCCAGCACCAGAAGGGGGTTTAAACTGTGACAGGGAAGAGTGTGCCGTCCTGCAGAGTGTTTATAAACCCTAAACCCTAAACCCTAAACACTAATTTATCTTACCTCCCTTACAGGCCCTCCTAAGGGTTTATAGGCCTTTTCTTTAACAGCAGGAATGGCCCCCCCTTCTTTTATAACAACAGCTGGCCACGGCGCATTGCCTGTGGTTTAGGGTTTAGGGTTTAGGGTTTGCAGGTGCTGGAAAGGTCGCTGCTCACATCTTTCTGCCCATCTGCAACAGTCGCAAAATATGATGAATTAGGGTTTAGGGTTTAGGGTTTAGGGTTTTGGGTTTGTGGCTTACTGGAGTCTTTCTTCAGCTGTATACTGGGAGAAATCCATAAAGGGGGTACAAGGCCCTCTGTAACTCTGAATACAAATATTTGTTTTCTCCTTTTTGTCTAGGGTTTAGGGTTTAGGGTTTAGGGTTTAGGGTTTAGTAGTCAGTTTTTGTTCCTTCTTATATAAGCACAACTATACAACCATATATATGTTTATATTTAAATATTTATTTATTTATACTTAAATAATAATTTATTTATAATTAAATATTTATTTATTTATATGTATAATAGCATGTATTAATTAATTAATTAATAATTAATTAAGGAGGCATAATCTTACGAAGGGAGCTGCGCATACACCGCGTTTTATATAGGCCCAGGTCTCTGGGCAGTTGGCGTTATTGTCTCTTGGTGGGCCTGCAGCAGCAACAGCAGCAGCAGCAACAGCAGCAGCAGCAACAGCAGCAGCAACAGCAGCAGCAGGAGAATATAAATGAGTTATTTAAAAAGGAGACAAAAAGAGACACAAAGAGACAATTAATAAACAGACAATAAGGGCAAGAAACAAGCAAATCAGCAACCCCTTAACAATAACTGATTAATTAAATTAATTAATTAATTAATTAAATTAATTAATTAATTAATTAATTAAATATACTTGTTATACACCTCCACTGTACAGCACATCTCCATGCGAAGTTTTCTTTAGCAAGAGGAGAAGAAGAAGAAATCACACTAGACGAACAACTAAAATAAATAAATAAATAAATAAATAAATAAATAAATAAATAAATAAATAAATAACTTAAATAAATAAATAAATAATAAAGTAGTAAATAATATATTATTAAAATATAAACACGTAAATAAAATAATATTTATTTATTTATTTATTTATTTATTTATTTATTTGTCTTACGGCCCCGTGTAACTCTCGGGAGGAATGCAAAGGCCTAAAAGGGTTTAAAGGTAGAAAACAGGCAAACGCAGCAGCAGCAGCAGCAACAGCAGCAGCAACAGCAGCAGCAACAGCAGCACAACAAAACCCTCCGTTAAAACAAAGAAGAAAAGAAAAAGGGTTTATGGGTAGTGCATAATGTTGGCTACTTATCTTCTAACAGCAGACAACAGAACCGCAAACCCTAAACCCTAAACCCTAAACCCTAAACCCTAAACCCTCACCTTCAGTTGGAGCACCTGAAAGAGTCCAATCTAGGGGACAAGGTGCGCTGTAATCTCTTCTGTCGAGGGTTTAGGGTTTAGAGGGTTTAGGGTTTAGATGTCATAAGGAAGCGAAGACCAACCTGCATTGGCCAATATACCTGGAAGAAAACAGTAAAGGAAGGGTTAGGGTTTAAAGATTTAGGGTTTAGGGTTTAGGGTTTAGGGTTTAGGGTTTAGGGTTTGTGTACCAGAATTTCTTGAGCCTTTCCTCAGCCAGAAGAAGGAGCTCTGCATGCAGAGACAAATAAATTAAACAATAAAGGAGAAGAAAAAAGGGAAGAAAGAAGGAATAAATAAACAAATAAAAGATTAAATAATAAAGTAATAAATAAAGGTGTAGATACACCCCATGGTCTTTACCATTATTTAATTTATCATTGCTATTTGCCTCCTTTAAGGAAGAAGATATCTTTCCTTCTGTCTATAAATATTATTTAATTAAATATAAATAAACAAATAGACAGATTAATTAATTAATTAATTAATTAATTAATAATAATAATAAAAGAGGAATAAAGAAAACAAGAAAATAAAGAAACTCATAGGTATAGGGGAAACATATAAACAGCACGCCTACATGTATAATAAAATAGACACAATAAATAAAAGAATAAACAAGTAAATAAATAAAAAAATAAATAAATAATAATAACTAAAATAAATAAATAAATAAATATTTATTATTTGTTTGTATCTATACGTAGCGTACCTCCTTTAATGCTCGTTGTAAGACAGTATTAAAGGGAGTTTCTTCCTCAGGCCCCTTAATAAAACAAATGCATGCAGATAAACAATTATAATTAAATATAATAAAATAAATAATATTTAACATTTCTTTTCTTCTTTTTATTTATATAAAATAATATAAATAAATATAAATATAATTATATTAATAATATACCGCTAATTCTTTTCCTCGCTTAGGCGCTGCTGGTTTAGGGAGAATTGAAGAAAGGAGAGCCATTAGCGTCTAAAGAAATATATTTTTATTTATTTATTTTTTTTATTGATGAATTAATTATTTGTTTATTGAATATTTACCTGCAGCAGTCTAAGGAGGGGTAGTAGTTAAGGTCATTATATTATTATTATAAAGAAAAAGGAGAGGAGTGTGATGATATACAATAAAAAAAAAGAGGAAAAATAATAAATAAAGATTTACCCTGTTACAGGACTTTGTTTTAAATCAGCTGAACTAAAACGAACAGAAAATACATTTTTATTTAGTGATGGTTTTTGTGCAATAAACTGCTCGGCAGTAGAGGATTTGCAGAAGGAAAGCAAGAAAAAAAATAGGTAAAATATCATTAAATTAGACATTCTTTTGAATAGAATACTTTTATTTATTATTCTTTACAAGAATATATAAACAAATACACAAAAAAATTATTTTTTTTCTTCCTTTTCTTGCTAATTCATCTTTGAACGACGCATCGTGCGGGTTGACCACTTGGGGTGTACGTACACCTTATTGTATAAGGTATTGAATACAAAAGGAAAGCAAAAAAGATTCATTAATATTGTTTTATTTACTTGAATAACTTTAAAAAGATTATTAATTTTATTTTTAAAATAATTTATTTATTGTTATCTACTGATGAGGAGGATATGATTAAGTAGACCAATATACACACACAACACACCTGCATTATTATTAGGTTACTTAATTCAAGACCGTCATTATTCAACAATTTTCTTTTTTTATTAATTACTTTTTTCTTTTTTTTCTTTTTTTTTCCTTTTTATTTTCCTTTATACCGTCAATTGCAATTAATTGACCTCTTTTTATTGAATGTGATTTCTTGAATCCATCAACACACACAGCCACCAGTATAAGCGTCAGCAGCAGCATGCAGCTAAATATATAAATATAAGTATATATAAGGATAATTTTCTTATAAAATTCTATAATATTCTCTTAATAAAGTATATATAATAAAGGTAAGAAGTATTTTTATATTTATTTACCCCTATTTTATTAAATATATTTCCTCTCCTCTCCCTCCTATGATGACACAGAGAGAGATGCACAAGAAGAGAGCAGTGGGGCTGTCTAGAGGCGGTGGCTGTTTATTAAGGGGCCTCTTATACGTATATATAAATATATTTTTTTATGTTTATGTTGTGCATATATATATATTTATTAATTTATTAATATTCTTTATTTTCTTTATATCTTTGTATATAATTTAATCCTTAATAAGGACCTTATTGAGGATTGTATACCTTCTTTTATTTATTTGCTGCTCCTCTCCTTCCTTTTGTTGCGCAGCAGCAGGAAAAAAAAAAAAACAACAAAAAGATTTCTTTGTTTTAATTAACAAGAAAAGAACATAAAAGGTTTGTTTTTTTTATTCTTTTTTATATATAACCATCTTATGAATACAAGAGACGCAGCAAAGACAGCAGAGGAGCAGCACAGCACACCACATCAGCAGCAGCAGCAGCAGCAGCAGCAACAGCAACAACAGAAACAGCAACAACAGAAAAAGCAACAACAGCAGCAACATCAACAGCAGACTATTCCTAACAATACCTTTTGCTGCTGCTGCTGCTGTCTGTCTGTTTGTCTGTCTGTCTGTATAAACTGCAGCATTATACATGACTAATTTGTTGCTGCTTCTTTCTTGTTGTTGTTGCTGTTATTGCTTGTTATTGTATATGGATAAATAAACATATATAATTACAGCTTCTTTTGCTGCTGTTGCTGCTGCTGCTGCTGCTGCTGTATAAATATAATTAATGAATTATAGATTATTTCCTGACATAAAATAATTCTTCTCTTTTTTTTTTGCAGAAGAGGAGGATGGGGAGCCAACCAGACAACAGCAACAGCAGCAGCAGTGGCGGCATAGCCGCTGCTGCTGCAACAACAAGCAGCAGTACAACAACAACAACAACAAATAACAACAACAACAGCAGCAGCAGCAGCAGCAGCAGCAGCAGCAGCAGCAACAATAATATAGTAGGTAGTGGTAAGATAATAGATACAGATTTATATAGTCGTCAGATAGGTACATTTGGATTAGAGACGATGGGTAAATTAATTAATACTAAGGTACTCATCTCCGGTCTTAATGGACAAGGAGTTGAATGTGGTAAGTCACTACTACTAATACTCATACTAATACTAATACTGCTCCTCCTCCTCCTCCTGCTGTTTGTTTGTTTGTTTGTTTGTTTGTTTGTTTGTTTGTTTGTTTGTTGTTGTTGGTGGTGATGTTTTATTATATTTTATATATACAGGGATTATGTTTATAGGCAATTCATCTATAGATTTATCTATCTTATATATATTTATATTTATGTATATATGTATATATATATGTATTTATATGTATAGATAGGTACCTAACTAATTAGTTAGTTACCTAGATAGTCAGTATATATATATACATAGCTAGCTAACTAGCTAGTTAGCTAGCTATGTAGTGATATCTTTCTTTCTTGCCATCTACCTACCTACCTGTCTAAATATATACCTACTACAGCTACCTATTAATCTATTTATTTATTTATTTAATTTATTTATATATTTAGCTAACTAACTAGCTAGCTAGCTAGCCATAAAATAATATATATTATTATTATTATGTCTTGTATGTTGTTGTGTATACAGCAAAGAATTTAATATTAGCTGGTCCTGGTGTTGTTGGTCTCCACGACCCTCAACTCGTCAGAGGAAGAGACCTGGGTAATTTACTTATTTATTTATTTATTTATTTATTTATTTATTTATTTATTTATTTATTTATTTATTTGTCTCCTTTTGTCATTTTTTTGTGTATTGTTTGTTTTATCTGTTTCCTCTTTCTGTCTTCTTCCTCATATTTTCCTTTTATTTGTCTTATTTATTTGTCTCCTTTATTTGTCTTATTTATTTGTCTCCTTTATTTGTCTTATTTATTTGTCTTATTTATTTGTCTCCCTTTGTCTTTCTGTCTCCTTTTTCTCTCTCTCTCTCTCTCTCTCTCTGCCTGTCTCTTTTTATCCACATAAGGTGAATATATATAATACATAGATAAGATATATAAATAATAAATAAATAAATAAATAAATAAATAAATAAATAAATAAATAAATAATAAATGTATATATATGTATATATATACAGGGAGTTGTTTTACATTTAGTAAATCATCAATAGGACAAAGAAGAGCAGCAGCATCTCTTTCTTATTTATCTGCATTAAATGATTATGTTCTTGTACAAGAAGAAACAGAAGAAGAACTCTCAGAGGTATATATATACTTACTGCTGCTCCTGCTGCTGCTGCTGCTGTTGTTGCTGCTGTTGCTGCTGTTGCTGTTGCTGCTGTTGCTGTTGCTGCTGTTGTAAGAAATAGAAGAAGAACAATCAGAAACAAGAAGATACTCATATATTGCTGCTGCTGTAATTGTTGCTGCTGTAATTGTTGCTGCTGCTTTTGTTGCTGTTAATACATAATTAACAACACCATTGCAAACATAAACCCTAAACCCTAAACCCTAAACCCTCGAGAATCGTTATTTTTTCCCCAAAAAACGAGCAAAATAAAATAGAAAATAAAATAAATAAATAAATATAAATAATAAATAATAAATGTATATATATAAATGTAAATGTATATGTATATGTATATGTATATATACAGGAGACAATAAGTAAATATGATGTATTAGTAGTATGTTATGGTACATATGATAGAATAGCGCATCTAAATAATATATGCAGAAGAAGAAAGAAGGGATTTATTGTTGGTATAGTTGCAGGTTTATGTACAAATATATTTGTAGACTATGGGGAAAGATTTAAGGTATTAGATGCAACAGGAGAAGAAGGAAAAGAATTAATAATAACATATATAAGTAATAGTAAGGATGGTGGTGAGGTGTATGTACACCTAGATAATAATACAAATAGTAATAATAATAATAATAATAATAATTATAAATCATTACCTGTACAAGAAGGAGATTATATTATAATAAAAGATGTAGAGGGTATGGAGGAAATAAATAAATATAAGAAAATAAGGATAAAGGAAATAAGGACAAAAAGTTCATTTATAATAGATATAGATACATCATTATTTTCTGCATATAAACAAGGAGGAATAATAAAACAATTACCTAATTCTTTTTATTTATATAATCGTTCTTTTATTAATTCTTTATATAAGCCTATATACCATAAAGAATATTCTCTTCTTATTCCTGATTTATATAAGTTTAATAACCCTATACAATTACATTTATCCTTTATGTCCTTATTATTATTATTAAATGAGAGAAAAGGTCAATATCCTCCTCATCCTATTTTATATAAACATTTAATTAATAATAATAATAATAATCTTGCTGCTGCTGCTGCTGCTGCTGCTAATGGTGATCAATCTGCTGCTGCTGCTATTGCTGCTAAGGAAGATGCAGATAAATGTGTTAATAGGGCTATACAAATTGCACATAAAATTATACAAGATAGTAAATTACATAAAGAACAAGAACAACAAAGACTGCAACAAATAAAACAGCAAAAAGAACAGCAGCAGCAGCAGCAGCAGCAACAGCAACAGCAGCAACAGCAGCAACAGCAGCAACAAGTTGGAGGAGAAAACAATAATAATAACAAGAAGAAGAAGAATATAGGAGAAGAAGAAGAAGGAGATAATGAATATTATAATGAGGAAGAAGATGAGGATGAATTAAGATGTTATATAGATATAAAAGAAGAAATAGATAAAGAAATAATAGATCATGTTATACGTTATTCTCCTTGTTGTATAACATTTATTTCTTCTTTTTGTGGTGGTGTATTAGCACAAGAAATCGTTAAATTCTGTGGTAAATATACACCATTAAAAGGATTTCTTTATTTAGATGCATTAGAGGCAATACCTCCTTCTCCTTTTATTGATTATTTATATCAATTAGATCAGCAGCAGCAGCAGCAGCAGCAGCAGCAACAGGAAGAGGAGGAACAAGAAAAGGAGAAGGAGAAGGAGAAGGAGGAAGAGGAGGAAAAGGAGGAAGGGGAGGAAGAAGAAGATATATTAGATAATGAGGGTGCAGATATGTTGGGTATATTTGGTGATTTATTTATTAAACATATAAATAAATTAAATATATTTATAGTTGGTGCTGGTGCATTAGGTTGTGAATTATTAAAGTTGATGGCACTTTCGGGTGTATGTACAGCTCCTGATTCATATTATAGATATATAAAAAAAATACATAAATATATAAATATAAATATAAATAATAAAAAAAAAGAAAAAGGAGGAAAATTAATAATTACTGATGGGGATTTAATTGAATTAAGTAATTTAAATCGTCAATTC